TTTTGAGTTATGGTGTTGGAGGAGAATATTGAAAGTGCCATGGGCTTCCAAAAGAACCAACAGATCTGTGTTGGAAGAAATGCAGCCAGAGTGCTTCTTGGAAGCCAGGAGGGCCAATCTTTGTCTCTCATACTTTGGACATATTGTCAGGAAGGAGCAGTTGCTGGGGAAGGATATCATGGTTGATAAAGTGGAGGGCCAGAGCAAAAGAGGAAGACCCTCAGCGAGATGGATTGGCAAAGTGGCAGCATCAGTGTGCTCAAGCATGACAACAATAGTGGGTTTGGTCTAGGATCAGGCATTGTTTTATTCTGCTATGCATAGGGTCGCTATGAGTCTGTACGAACTCTATTGATATTTTTTCACTTAATCATAAAAGGACCACAGTATTTTCCCTCATGTAATTGCTGTTCTTCATAAGGTTAGAATCTGTATTTATTTAACTCAGAATTGTTTCCTTCCTCCTGTAGGTTTGTCGTACTGTGGTGGCTTATGTGTTGGTGCGATGCTGGAAGCTATACCACTGGCATTTTAAATACCAGCAGGATAACCTGGGGTGGACATGTTTCAGTGGAGCTTTTCAGAGTAAGACAGACTTGTAAGACGAAGGGGAGAAGGACTGTTTCTGAATGTTTAGCCACTGAAAACCTTGTAAACAGCAGTGGAATGTCCTCTGGCATAGTGCCAGAAGATGAGCCCCAAGGTTGGAAGACATTCTGAATATTATGGGAAGAAGAGCTGCCGTCTCAAAGTAGAGTTGAACTTAATGACACGCATAGAGTAAGTCTTTCAGATCTTCATTTGCTGATGGGTCACAATTCAAAATGAGAAATAGCAGCTGGAAGTATCCATTCAATAATAATTATTACATGGAATGTACAAAGTACTAATCTAAGAAAATTGGAAGTCATCAAAATAAAATGGAATGCATAAAGATCCATATCTTAGGCATTAATGAGCTGAAATGGCCTGATTCTGACAATTTGGTTTGGATAATCAAATTGTTCATTATGCCAGGAATGACAAAATCAAAAGGAATTACATCACATTCATTGTCAAAAAGAGTATTTCAAGATCTATCTTGAAGTACATTGCTGCCTGTTATAGGATAATATTCATAAGCCTACAAAGAAGACAAATTAATACCACTGCTATTGAAATTTTGGCACCAAACACTAAAGCCAGTGATGATGAAATTGAAAAATTCCACCAACTTTTTCAGTATGAAATTGCTGAAGCATGTAATCAAGATGCATTGATCATTACTGATGATTGTAATGAGAAAGTTGGAAACAGAAGAAGAAGCAGTAGGTGGAATATAACCTTGGTGATAGAAATGATGCTGGATAACACATGATAAAATCAACAACTTATTCATCCTACATACCTTTTTTCAATAACATTAAAGATGATAACATAAAGGGACCTCACTAGATGGAATATACAGGAATCAACTTGAATACATATGTGGGAAGAGACAATGGAGAAGCTCAATATTATCAGTCAAAACAAGGCTAAGGGCTGACTGTGGATCAGACCATCAATTGTTCATATGCAAGTTCAGGCTGAAGTTGAAGAAAATTAAAGCAAGTCTGTGATAGCCAAAATACAACCTTGTGATTATCCCACCTGAATTTGGATACCATCTCAAGGTCAGATTTGGTGCATTAGACAATAATGACCAAAGACCAGAAGAGTTGTATAATGATTTCATGAACATCATCCATGAAGAAAAGAAAAGTTTGAGAAAATGAAAGACCAAAAAGAAAGAAAAGACAAAAATGGGTGTCAAAAGAGACTCTAAAATTTGTTTTTGCATGTAGAAAATCGAAAGGGACTGAAAGAAATGATGACGTTAAAGAACGGAACAGGAAGTTAAAAGGGGAACTTGAAAAGAATAAGTCAAGTATTATAATGAAATGTGCAAAATCTGCAGCTAGAATATCAAAGGGAAGAATATACTCAGGATTTCTCAAGATGAAAGAACTGAAAAGAAAAATTCAAACCTCAGCTTTCCGT